GTGGGTGTACATAAATGTGACTACAGTTTAGGCAGTTGGTTGTGGTGGTGGTCTAAGGAACTTAATGAGTCGAGATGAGATGAAACTCGTGCTGCACTAACTCTAGTTAGCAAAAGTTGTAAATAGACATCCTTGGGTAAATATTAATGTGATCAGTTGTGAATGTGAATTCTATATGGCATAGGATCGTCAGTTCGTCGAGCTTTCTACCTTTGTTTATATGTACATAGAACTGAACAGAGTTTATCTTTATACAGATTGTTTTTAGAATATAAAACATTTGGTCATTATTGTGCTAGCAGATAGATTATAAATTAAATATATTTTTTGGGGAGAATAATGCTATATAGGGCTTGTTTGAGCCACATTATTCCAAAAAAATACATTATTAAACAGTGATTTGACATCATTTCAACCACACATTCTTCAATAAAATAATATTACACGCAGATCAAAAAAATTTCCTTATTTTTTAATCCCACATTTCTCATCAATACACTATTTAAGAATGCATTATTACCAAAATAATGTGGCTCAAACATCCCAATATATAAAATATGATCACCCTCGTGATGTGATAGGTGATTTGAAGTGAAATAATGAGGTCAATTGAATATGTGGATACGAGAATATCTAGCTGATGAAGACCAGTAAGTGATTTCTAGTAGTTAGTAGTTACTATATAGGAAATAGTCAACTTTCATTTTCAAATGGGCCTTGAACAATTTTCTCATTGAGTATGTGAGTAGAGAACTCGGTGATCTTAGATTTAGCTCCCGTTTGGCTCCCATTAAATTACATTTCATTATATTCTATTTTTTCTTTTCTATTTTCAGCCACACGATCTTTCATAAAATAATATTACACGTTAGTAAAAAAAAATTCATTCTTTTTTCAAATATATATTTTTCAAAAAAACAGTATTATATTTTTTGAAAAATATGTGTTTGAAAAAAGAATGAATTTTTTTTTATTTGAGTGTAATATTATTTTATGAAAGATCAAAATAAGAGAGAGAGAATGAGAATGGGCAAGCGGGGGCTTTGCAAGTCCGAAAATGAAAAGGAGAAAGTTTTGCCGTACAAAATGTAAGTTTAACCCTTGAATCTCCAAGAATCATCGGATACCAATTAAGGAATTTGTTTTTTAATTTTGAAAGCAAGGTACAAATTTACTGGTAATATTCATGCAAGGGAATTAAATGAAATCACGATCTTAAGTATTTTTCGTCATGTGATGAAAAGTTTTAGTAGGTTAATTAGGTCAGTTTATGAATGACAATATATGGACGATTTATATGCTAATTTTTGTTAGTTAGTAGTTGAGTTATTTTTCTCGAGCTGCCCTCTTGCTTATAAAAATATTATAAGAGAGCAATTTACACGAACTAGTCTCTATTCCACATTGACGAGAGAACAACCCCTTACTAGCACTACTTAGTAGGAGTGGAGAGCCCATTGCGCTTTGTTTTTCTTTGTCCGGCCTACGTTCTTTCTATAAACAAGCTACCTCCGACCGTTCAAGGACATCAAAGGATTATTAATTTATAAATTTTACATTTTAACACATGCATTTATGATTCAATACACATGCATTTAACCAAGTAATAATAATCATATTACAAGAAAATATTATAGTTAATTACATTAGTATGTTTCAGATTTGTTAAAAATGAAACCATAGATTAATATAAATGTCTTCAAAAAATACCTTTCATTTTATTGCAAACACCAAACCATTTGTTTGTATCACCCACCACCCCAAACTTTCCATTTTGTTACAACACAATGACAAATGGATGAATTTCGTCTATTTGATTGTTAGTTGACTGAAAAAGTATATTTTGGCCAAATTTCTAATATTTAAAAAGGGTAAAATAGTAATACATATTGAACAATTCATAGAGTTACATAAAAAACCAAGAAAGAAAAAGAAATAAAATAAAAAGAAAAATTTATCTTCTCCCCAACCCATCCAAACCCCACGCTACCTACAAAAGAAATTGTGCCTAATAAAATGGAACATGGATAAGACTGTTTTTCTTATTGGAACATGAATCCCCTAATTTTAAATTCCCCAGGGTCCGCTGGCTTTTCTTTCAATTTTCAAATTTGAGTTAATTTTCAATTTATGTTTCGAGGATTTGTTTTAAGATTGTTAAAAATATATCCCTTGGAATAGCAGGCCAGGGAGGATCGATACGAGCCTATCACTTGTTGTGGATCGTTCAACTTTCTCTGGAGGGGGCACATACTTCCACTCCTATCGCTCTTCAAGTCTCTTTGAGCCCCCTTTTTCTTCCTCGAGCACATGTCTTCTGGTTCTATGAAGAGCCTTTCGAGCAACTTTATTCGAAGAGCTATGCTTGAGCTCCTTTGAGTTAGAGTTTTGAGTTAGATCGTGCCTACGGTAAACACTGGGTAGCCAAGTGCGGGCTTGGTAGGAGTGCAGTATCGATCGTAGCATGCCAAGCCAATACGGAAGTGATCTGACTCTTGGGTAGGAGGCAGGGGCGAAGGAGCTAATGTTGTTTGTCATTCTAACAGCTGTTTATCGAAACAAAAATTTAAAGAATATTTTTGATTCTGAACTTTATGAGGTGTTTGAGTCACGTTATTTTGGTAATAATGCATTTTTGAATAGTGTATTGATGAAAAATGTGTGGTTAAAAAATAAGGAAAAGATTTTAATTTGCGTGTAATATTATTTTATTAAAGAATGTGTTGTTGAAATGATGTCAAATCACTGTTTAAAAATATATTTTTTTGAAATAATGTGGTTCAAACAGACCCTTAATAATTTATGTTATGACATTTTATGCCACGAATTTTGATTATTCAATATAAGACAATAATTTCATGTTAATATTATTAGCTAATATATACATTTTAAAGTTAGTAAATTTTACAACATTTTTTCGTTATAAAAGTAAAATCAATATAAATAATAAACTAAGTTATTAAAATATGGTAAATAAAAATTGATGACGTGGATTGAAAATCTTTATATGTTCATTTAAATATACCTTTTTAGAATTTTTATTTAAATAATTATTAAGATGTTGAATTATTTTTATATTTATGTACAATTTTTTTTAAATTTAATTTTTAAACATTACGAGCGATGTTAAATATCACTTTAAGTGTTAACATATCATATATTCTATTAAATAGATTATAAATTCTTATATTTGAGGGGAAATTATAATTTAATAACATAAATATTGTTACTTGGTTAAACATCATTAATGCTAAATAGCGGCAAAAGCAAAAGTGCAGCGACCACCCAATCACTGATGCGAAATAAGAGGGCAGAATATGCAGCTGACGTTGTACCTTTCTTCTCCACTCAAAACGAAAATGTCCTCTGAAAATATCTCTTATCACTTCCCCCAACCCCTCGCTGTCCAAAATCATATTTTCAGCCATTTCCCTTGACCCAAATGGAAAAGCCATGAACACCACCTCTAGCCCATTTCCATCAACTCACAATCTTACTCTCTGTTGGGTTTCACTGCCACCTTCCTCAACCACCCTTTTCGCTTCTGCCACCACCAACTCTAAGCCTCCTTTGTTTCGGGTTCAAACCACCACCAACCCCTCCAACACCTCTCTTACCACAACCACCAGCAAGAAAAAATTTTCCAATTCCCAAGAGCAAATACTCCTCACACTTCTTCAACAAAGGAAAACTGAGGAGGCCTGGCTAGTGTACACACAATATGCAGACCTCCCTGGTCCCACATGCCTTAGCCGTTTGCTCTCACAATTATCCTATCAAAATACCAACGAAGGACTCACCAGGGCCCAGTCCATCATCCAACGCCTCCGCCAGGAGCGGCAGCTCCACCGCCTGGATGCTAATTCCCTCGGCCTCCTCGCGGTGGCTGCCGCCAAAGGCGGGCACACCCTCTACGCCACCTCCATTATCAAGTCCATGCTTAAGTCCGGGTATCTACCCCATGTTAAGTCATGGAGTGCTGTAATAAGCCGCCTTGCTGGTTCTGGGGATGATGGTCCCGTTGAAGCCATAAAACTATTCAATTCGGTGACAAGAAGGGTCCGCAGATTTGCTGATTCGGAGATGGTTAAGCACTCGAAGCCAGACACAGGTGCTTATAATGCTGTGCTCAATGCTTGTGCCAATCTTGGCGACACCAAGAAATTTCTTCAACTGTTTGACGAAATGCCCGATTTTGGATGTGAACCAGATTCTTTGACATATAATGTCATGATCAAGCTTTGTGCTAGAGTCGAAAGGAAAGATTTGCTCGTGTTTGTCTTGGAGAGGATAATAGAAAAGGAGATACCTTTATGTATGACAACATTGCA